GCAGGCAGAAGTTGCGAGGGCAGAGTTCTGTGCTTGGGGGCTTTGGGTTTAGGGCTTAGGGTTTAGGGTTTAGGGTTTAGGGGTTTAGGGTTTAGGGTTTAGGGTTTAGGGTTTTGGGTTTTGGGTTCTGGGTTTAGGGTTTTGGGTTTAAGGTTTAGGGCTTTGGGGGTTTAGGGGTTTTAGGGTGTTGGGTTTAGGGCTTTGGGTTTAGAATTTAGGGTTTTGGGTTTAGGGTTTAAGGTTTAGGGCTTTGGGGGTTTAGGGTTTTGGGGGTTTAGGGGTTTTAGGGTTTAGGGGTTTTTAGAGGTTTTAGAGGTTTGGGTTTCGGGTTTTGGGTTTAGGGTTTACGGTTTACGGCTTTAGGGTGCCAGGGGCCATGCAAGTCGGATGATCTAGCTGCTGCGACAACAGTTCTCAGCGAGCCCACCCGGTCCTGAACCTGAAACAAAACGTACCAACATTCCGAAGCCACAACTCCTACCCTAAACCCTAAAACCTAAAAGCCTCAATCCTGAACCCCAAAACCCGAAATCGTAAACGCCTTAAGCACTAAAAAGCGGCGCTCGGAAAGACCTCAGAGCTACCGAGGGTCGGCATGGACGTGATGCCGTGCGAGATGGCCTCGTGCGACGAGCCCCGAGAAATCATCCCTTCATGGGTTTAGGGCTTAGGGTTTTTTGGCTTTTAGGGCTTTAGCGCTTTTAGGGGTTTAGGGCTTAGGGTGTTTAGGGCTTTCAGGGTTTTAGCGCTTTTAGGGGTTTAGGGCTTAGGGTTCTTAGGGCTTTCGGGGTTTTAGCGCTTTTAGGGGTTTTGGGGCTTAGGGTTCTTAGGGCTTTTAGGTTTTAGTGCTTTCAGGGGTTTAGGGGCTTGGGGCTACCGGGTTCCGGATGTAGGGATTTGGGCTTCGGGTTATGCAGAAACGAAGATGTAAAGCCAAAGAGGGCCGAAGACTTCGCGGGGTCTCCTCCCGGCAGTTGCATTTCAAGTACAAGAGCTCATATGGGTGGTTCTCTAAACTAGGGTCCCTTTTAGGGTCCTTTTTATACGGGTGCCGTACTATATTGGGGACCTAAAAAAGGGACCCGAATTTAGAGAACTACCCATATGGCTCCAAACCCCCTCTGCCGGAGCATCGAGTACGAAGTTTCAGCTGGAACCCCAAAAAATGGCGGAGCTCCCCAGAGTGCGAATATATAGGGGCCCTAGACAGGGTACTGGGGTCTATGATACAAGGAACCTCAGGAATGGTGTGGCTACTTATTCCGGCTTCTATACTATGTGTATCTGTATACAGCATTGGCTCGCTTTGAATGCAACCAGGCATTGGTCGTTTCACTAGGGCTTGTTTGGGGGTTTGGGGTTGACGGTTCGCCTAAACAACACGCCGAAACCTGTTTAAACTCCAATCACGGTTTAGGGAAGCAGCTACGAAAGCAAATGGCGCCGACGCCACCTCGTCCGCCAGCGTTTTGGCACGATAGGCCACCTTCGGTTTTTGCAAGGTGTTGACGTTTACAGGGCAAAGATGCGAGGTTGGGGCTTGGGTTGCGAAAAGCATTGAAACGCGCATCGGGCTGGTGCCATGATATGCAGCAGGATGTGCGACGTGACCGTATAGAAGCGCGCTTGGCTTCATGGCCATCGAAAGTCCAAAGCACTCTATACGACATGCAGATTTGTCGAAGAGGTTATGGCTTCCCTAGGCCAACACCCTGGATCTCGTAGGCTCGGAGATATCTGCTCTGCGAGGCCAACACCCGAAAATCCCAGGGTGCATCTCGAGTTATGGAGGAACCACAAAACCGACCCCACAGAGGTGCAATAAGGAATACACAACGTTTTCTTGTGGTCACAGCAGCCCCGATAGCAATGAGGGGTCAAAGCATCTGCCGTGAGACACAACAACCCGTGCTATACGGCTCGTAGGCACACGGGACACTTGCCGATTGACCTCAAAGTGACACTAAGCGCAAGAGGAGCAGACGGCACTCCTGATTTGCAACATGCCCACCTGCAAGGCCTCGTACAGCTCGTCACTCGCCTGTCATGCCATGCTCGGTATAACCTCCAGAATAATCAGAACCTAGAAAGAAGTACCCCCTGAACGAGGCACCCCCCCAGTTTAGGAACAACCGGGGCTTGATCACGACAACTATGAAATGGCCATGCAACCACATTCTCATCCAGACATGAAGCCTGCACGCATATCTACAATAAATAAGTGTGTGTATAAACATTGTATAGATACAGATATGTATACAGACATACATACATACCTACACACCTACAAACATACATACATACATACATACATACATACATACATACATACATACAGACATACATACATACATACATCTACATGTGTATGTACATATATATGTATATGTATGCATGTACGTGTATGTGTGTGTATATAATATATGTATATGTATATGTATATGTATATGTATATGTATATGCACACGTGTATGTATGTATGTATGTATGTATGTACGTATGTAAACCTATATAGATTCAACATACGCGTGTCTGTCTGTCTGCCTGCCTGTCTGTCTGTCTGTCGGTCTGTCTGCCTGTCTGTATGTATGTGTGTATGTATATATAGACTGAAATGTCTGCACGTATATGTAAATACATCTAGATATATGTATGTATGTATGTATATATATATATACATGCATATTATATATATATATACATATGTGGATGTGGTTAGCCCTTTAGAAAATGGGCTTTTGGACTTATGGTTGAGAACCGCAATGGCAACGCAGCCAAAGTAACAAATGTAATACTTGCGAAGTAACGATGATAATCCTACTAACCCTGCATAGTAGTGATAGTAGTAGTAGAAGTAGTAGTAGTAGTAGTAGTAGTAGTAGTAGTAGCAGTAGTAGTGGAGGTAGTAGTAGTAG